TCTGTATGGTGATCCTCAGGCACGTCTGTGCCGCTGCCCGGATCGCTGCAGGCTTGGCCGGCGGCGGCTCTGGCACCACCGCTGCTGCGGCCCGCCTCGTGCTCATCTGCCTCGTGATCGGCTAAGCTGGGGTCCTGGTCACTCTCTGGCCTGCCGTCGCCGTCTGACTGATGGCCTGCCATGTGACCGCTTTCCAGGTGCTCGCAGCCCGCAAGGGCGGCCTGCCCCTTTGCTTTTGCTTCGGCAGCTTTCGCCAGCGCCGCCTGCAAGGGCTCCTCAAATGGGGCCTGGAATGCAGCGTCACTGCGGCGTGCGCCACCCCTCTTGTTGCCTGACGTCATCCTGGCTGCCTGAGTCTGCCGAGCTGTCCCAGCCGGCTGGAAGCACCTCGCCTCCGGAGTGCTGCTGCCTGCAGTGGTTGATGCTGTCGTGTTTTCCGCAAGCTGCGCGCTCAGGCCCACATGCGTGCGGTAGGTGTGCGATGTGTGTGGAACATCGTCACGAGCGTGTCAGGCATCCCTGGACTGCATCATCTTGGCCGCGGGGGCCCTCACAACAGCTATTCGGGCGAGCTCCGTGCGCGTCAGGCATGCGTTGCCAACCCGGGACCGATGAATACCGAATTTAACTCCTGGGTTCTCACATTTTCATGCAGCGAGGGTATGCATATTCATGGCCCAAGATCTGATCCCGTGATCCGGCAGAGGCCTGACTGTTGTGTACAGGCAGGGGTCACAGAGAATTCACACACGGGGCGTAAGGTTTTCAATATGTGAGGAAGTAGTAGTACCGGTAAGTGCTCGCAGTGTCCAAAACAAGCAAATGGGTGCATGCCTGTGCGCGTCACCCTTGAAATTGCCAGTCTCACCCAGCCATGATGCTCGTGTGTGCCAGTCAAGCTCAAGACAGCGTGTGCATTATGCTGGTATTCAAGGTGATCAAATTATCATGCCCTGTATTGTGTATCCTGCGACGGAGTCGCTTGTGAGGCGGGGATGCGTCACCTCAGGGGAATGAGGGAAAGCAGCATGCGATGTGCACACTCACACGCAGGAGGCCAGGTCGCCGGAGCCACATCAAACACTATCCGGCGCATATGATATGAAGGGGATGAATTTATTGAAGGTTCTTGCAATGGGTAGGCTCCAGGCAAGGGTCGTCACAGGTGTAGTTGCTGCCGCAGCTGGATGCCCAGCCTACGCCCGGGCGCGAAGGCATGTAGAGCAGCACCTGGCTTGCAACTGGTGCCCCACCAGCTGCCGTTTGCCTCCAGCTCTTTTGGGTTGGCAGCAACCACCTCGCAGTGTCACTTCTTTGCCGCAACTTGGCAGTGCACGCATTTGTACCACTTTTCAATAAGGCTTCAACGCGCAGTGCGCTTCTGGTTGCGATGGCCGCCAAGGTGAAGCCGCGACAAGCTTTCTTTCTCCTTTTTGCTGCAATAACCACCGGCAAACTCTGGCTAGACAGCTGTAGGAGCAGCCTCCCCTCCACGCAAGTCCTCCATGCAACCTGTTGAAACCTGTGCTTGCCAATTGCCACCGTGCGCTCCGCCGCGGGTGCTGCAAAACAGTCTGGCTTCCAAGCACCGCTTGGAACCATGACAGACTAGGCTTATCCAAGGGGGGTCCGGGTTTGAGTAGGGACACCCCACACGCTTTCTGCCTGGCGCTTTTCATCTCACTTAGCAGGTGGGGTCTCCAGACGGCCAGCCCGCCTACATGCCACCTTGTAAACACGTGCTCGTCACACTTTGCATGATCAGCGGTGACTTCTCCCATCTTTGTATCATGTTCGATCTCACATCAGCTCTGGGAGATGGCAGCACCAGCAGGGCGCCGGTCCTGCAATACGGTAGCCGGCGCAGCAGCGACACCAGGACGGGTTACTGCATTGCAAAACCATCGCAAAACAGCCAGCGTGGCACGGATGCCAGTGAACACACCATATCTTGGGTACCGGTGGCACGGGTATGGGCGGGATACCCCAATCGCTTTGAGCACGCTGCTGCTTGCCACACCTGCTGTGTGCGGTGTCTACTGTACGGTGGTGACCACTCTACCCCTCGGTAATCGAACCCTCGTCAGTGCATGCATGATACGACGATTTTTACACATATCTTCAGACTGATGCAACCGCCATTTCAATCATATATGCTCGCTGGTCCTGAGCTGACCTGCTTGCTGGCCCAGGCTTTGGTCTGGTTGTTGCGAGATCAAACTCACCTGGCAGCGTGACGAAGCCTTAACTCAATGGGAAGCGTATGAGTTCCTCGTTATGCAGTCGACCAGCACGGACGTGTGGAGTTTCAAAGGGGAGGGGAATGCCAACATTGTGTTCGCTTACACCGGCACGGATGCCACTCTTGTAAGTGTGAACTCATGCAAATCAATCTCCAAGCTACGCTTGCCGGGCGCCTGGCTGACAATGGACTCGTCCGCCGACAGGGACTGCAGCGTCCTTGCCTGCGCTGCATCACTTTGGCCCCATCCGGCCGAGGGGGCCTACCATAGAGGCACCAACGCACACGCCCGCTGCGTGACCACGCGTCGCAGGCGGGCAAGGTCCTGCGCCTGCGCAAGGCCCGGCCCAAGGACTCTGCTGCCGTCCCCGACCCAATGGCAGAGCTGGAGGCCAGGGTGGGCAGGTCATGCCGTGCTGACTAATGGGCCCCTGTAATGGACGCATCACAGTGCAGCCTATCCTAGGTGCGCCGCGCTCGCAGCCGCTCAACAGGCCGCGCGCCCTGCAGCTGGTTGCTTGGGGCCGCTGTTTGGCGGCCCGTATTGCCATTTGACAAACGCTGGCCACGCCGCGTTCTGCCCTTCACAACCCAACACACAGGTCTGGGAGCCTGCAATACCCGGCTGGCGACACATGGGTAGGCGCACGGCGTGCCATGCCACACAGGCCACCAACCAGCATGCCTGACCTGTTGCTGGCGGCGAGGGTTTTGTCTCAAGGCATCGTCCGGCGTCCAAGACTCTGACAGGTTGGGTTCTGCAGTGGCCGCCACGAACGTCAACTTTTGCGAGAACCCATGTCCAATTGATCCACTGCCACCGCCGTCGTCCAGGGGTGCTGCAACGCGAGGCGGCCTATATTAGTGAGATCCTGCTGCCACTGCTGGGGCCCGCCGCAGCCGCGGCTGCGGAGGCCGCAGCCGAGCCTGCCCCCGCGGCGGCCACCCCTGCCGACGGCGGCCGCGGTGCCGCTGGGCCAGACGGCGCCGCGGGCGCCGGCGAGGCGCTGCAACTGCAGGCGGTGCCGGCCGCGGCAAACCAAATGGAGGTGCCACAGGACTTGGCAGCCCTTCTTGAATCTGAGGGACGGCGGCTGGCGCCAGGGGTGGTGGGGCAGCTTATTCCAGATCACACGCTCTTGCCGGCAGGTGGGGGGCGCCCGGTCCCGGCCTGCGGCCGGGTGCAAGCTGGGGCCGCCGCACGTGCGCTTTTGCGGGCGGCGGTGAGGTCAGTCTGCTGCTATGCCGTTTCAGGAAGGGGTGCGTGCCCTTTGGCGGGAATAGACTGGCCGCTTTGCAGGCGGGCTAGTCCATGACATCGCAGGCGACCGTCGTTTTTGCTTTGGGGGACACCTGAGAACAAAATTGGGCGAGCCTCCCAGAAGCGCCTTGTCGCTGCGGGTACACAGCCGCCACCCTCTCACGCCGCCACCCTCGCGCCGCGCGGCCCTCGCGCCCCGCCACCCCGCGCCGCACGGCCCCCAGGCTTCCGCCCCGACCTCCGCCGTGTCGGCCCCGCCGTCTGCGTGGAAGTGAAGCCAAAGGCCGGCCTGCTGCCCACGAGCCGCCACATCGCGCGGGAGCACGCCGTGAAGCTGCGCGTGCCCCGTTTTGCGCTGCACCAACTCCTGAAGCACCTCAAGGTGTGGGCAGCGAGGCCCCACAGCTCCGCCCTGGCGCGCCAGCCCTCCTGACGCGCGGCCGCGCCTGGCGGGCTGAGAGGGAGGGCGCTGCTCAGGCGCCGGCTTGGCGTTTGGGGCTGACGGCAGGGGTGCCATCGTGTGAAAAGAGCGACAGCTGGCCGCCCGAGCGGGAGCCGTGCCCCTTGCCATCTGGGGTGCCGGCCATAATCACGGCCCCGCCGAGGACCCCGACCCCGCACCTCTTACCCTGCCCCCCCCCCCCACCCGCACCCACACATCCCAGCTGAGGCTGCATGGCCCCAATCTCAGCCTCCTCATCCATCAAGCCCCCTCCTAAAAACACACATGCGCACTCATCTTGTCACAGGGCAAGGCCCCGGCTATCAGTCGCTACAGCCCCCTGGACCTGTTTGGGCCAGACCCCCGCCTGCAGGAGGCTGCGCTGGCGGCGCTGATGGAGTGCCCCTACAACAACCTCAAGGTGGCCCTTGGTATTCATCTTGGATCTTGATCTTGATCTAGGGTCTCCTGCGCCTTACCCGACTCCTGACGGGATGCAGCGTCCACCCGGGCGCCGCATCCGCCATAGTTGGATCCCCCAGACCGGCGGCCCAGGCTTTCAGCGGCCCGCCGTCGTCTTTACTCGAACCGGCCGCGGGCCCCTCGCCGTCGACGGCAGGCATGGGCCTCAGCGCTGCTTCCTGCACGTCGACGCGCCCCCCTCCCCCCTCCTCCGTAATCGCCCCGTCGACGGCCGGCCGCAGGTGTTCGTAGATGGAGACCTCGTCTTTGGCGGAAAGTCCGACGCGCCGCCGGCGCGCGCCGCGCGGCCGCGCGGCAGCCCCCAGCAGCTGCCCGCCTACCCGGGCAGCCCCCCCAAATCCGCGGGTCCGCCTGCCGCCGGCGCTGACGCCGGGCCCGACGGCCCCGGCGAGGCGGCGCTCGCGCCGCCGCAGCAGCAGGTGCACTGGCCCAGCAGGCTCGGCCGCGTGGCGGCGGCGCCACTGGAGCCGCTCGTGCTTCCGTCAGCGGCGGTTGGGAGTCCGCGGCCTCACTATGACGACCAGCAGCGGCAGGAGCGGCAGCAGCAGCAAGAGCAGCAGCAGCCAAAGCAGCCAAAGCAGCAGCAGCTCGGCCCGTCGCCGGCGTCGCCGCGCCGGGCACCCGCGGCGTGCCTGGGCTCCCCGCAGCGCCTGGGCTCGCCGCAGCACCCGGAGAGTCCCACCTGGGCAGCGCGGCGCTGGAGCGTGGCGGAGCTGCTGGAATGCCTGCGGGGTTTCCCGGTGCTGCCCCCTGATGCGCAGCACCAGGAGCAGCAGCAGCAACTGCAGCAGCGGCAGCAGCAAGATGGGAGCTCCCTTGGCCAGGCGCCGCGCGACGGCAGCGGCCGTGACAGTGACGGCGCCTCAGACTCCGCTGTGCTGCAGCTGCAGCAAGCGCCCCAGCGCATCCTGTTTGCCGGCGGCCGCTGCGCCGGCAGCGGCGGGGGCGGCGGCCCGGGCGACGCCGCGCGGGAGCGGCTGCTCTGCCGCCTGCTGGCGCGCGTGCTGCGCGCTTCGGGCGTGCTGCCGCGGCTGCTGGCGGCGCAGCGGCTGGACGTTTTGGACGTCGAGGGTGTCGCGCCGCTGATGCGGCGGCTGCTGTCCGGCCTGCAGGAAGGGGGCGGGGGCGGGGATGTCAGCCGGCAGCAGGAGGAGCAGCAGGAGGATTCCCAGAAAGATTTGCAGCAGCAGGAGGAGCGGTCGTTGGGGGCCTCGCGGCAGGTGCAGGAGGAGGAGGAGGAGCAGCAGCAGCAGCAGCAGCAGCAGCAGCAGCAGCAGGAGCAGCAAGGTGATGCCGCCATGACATGCCTGAGCTCGCTGCAGACCGATCCTCAAACCCTGCGAGACGCCGCCAGCATGCGGCTGGAGGACATCGGGTACGATGCGGCCCTGCAGCTGCTGCGCGGCTACCTTACCGCCGTCACTGCCAAAGACTGCGGCGTCATGATTACGCTGCAACAGGTGGAGCCTCATAACGGCGCCGGCAGTGGCGGGTCCAATTACCAGGATTGCGATGTGAGCAGTGGCAGCAGGGGGGCTCTGAGCGAGGGGTGCGGGGGCAGCGATGTCCGTGGGGATTGCAGCGGCGAGGGAACCAGTGACTGTGAATGTGGCGGAGTGATGTACGATGACGTCAGCGGGTGTCATTTCCTGTGGCGCGTCAACCTGGTGGATCTGGACCTCAAACCCCTGGCCAAGGTGGGAGTGGGTGTGCGGGTGCACGTGTGTGCACCTCTGTGCATGCATGGGTGCGTCGCACAGGGACTGCTGCACTCTGCTGTCACGGGAGAGCTGCCCTGCCGTGAGACAGCACAAGTCCCCCCATGTTCAAGTTGGTTGTTATGTTCTGCGTGCATGTGCGTGTGCGTGCGCGCGCACCACATACACGCACCCACTCTCTCTGTCTCTCTCTCTTTCATTCACACACACACACACACATACACACGCACGCACAACTGCACACTGCAGATCCCCATCCACGAGGCTCTGGACCAACGCATCGTGGCTGCAGCGCTGGACCACTCAGATCTGCTAGAATCCGCCGCAGCTGCGCGGCGGCGCTGGCTGGCCGCCTGGCTCAGGGACTACGGCGCGAGCGCCGCTGCAGCCCGCGGCGGCCCGCGCGGTACGCGGGGCGGCGTAAGTGGTGTTTATGGAACTGTCGAGCCAGAATGATGCATGGTCTTTGAGAGGTGTCAATGAAGTTACGGTGCTGCTGCTCGGCTGCTGCTGCTGCTGGTGCTGCTTCATGAAAAGTCGGACAGCTGAATGTGTAGTGTCAGCTTGGTGGCTGGATTCATGTTGACTTACGCCGCCGCCTCGTTTTACTGCTTCTTTGCCCTATCTTTGGTTGTTTGAGTCCTCAGATAGCAGGAGGGACTTTTGTATAATCAAAGCCACCGAAACATACACATGCCATGTTTAGTGGGGTCCATGTCGCCGCTGTGATTGGCTGCGCCACTTCTGTGCATCATTTCCTTCGAATTTTGGATGTGAAACCCCTATTATGTATAAACAATCATTTCAGCCTGTCCCGGCCGCTGTGTAAGGATCCATCACCGACGTCACATGTGCGGCCAACGATGCCGCCAACCAGTTGCACAGGCGGCCTCGCTCACGCGTTGTGCTCGGCGCAGCCGCTCGCCGTCTCCCCAAGCGCCGCACGCCCAAGCGGCTGCGCAGCAGCGGTGCCATCGGCGCCGTCCTCCGCTCCGCCGGCCGGGCCGCGGCCGGGGTTTGCGGCGCGCTTCCAGTCGTCGCGGTGAGCGCCGGTGCGCTCAACTTGCCGGCGAAACGCATCCAAAAATGCTGCCGCCAGCAGCCCAGCAAACGGCAGCAACAGCGCGGGAACAAGCCAGGCGGCGGCAGGCTGGAGCTGTGTTTGGTGCATCGCAACTGACCCCAGGATGACGGAGATGGGCCCTGCAAGTGAGAGCGTGAGTTGATTGTTTATGGCATGAGATACTCTAAAGAGTCTACATAGGGGTGAAGATTCATCAGCAGCTGAAGCAGCTGCAGTAATATCGCCAAGGCTGCTACTCCGTTGCTGCTCGTCTGCACCGCTGCTGCTGCTGCGCCGCCGTCGCCACCGCCGCCCTTGCCCCCCAGACTACGTCTGGTCCCTTGCTGAAGCCATCCCACACTAGCTAGCTACTCGCGCACCTGCCAGAAGAGCGACCGCTGCGAACGCGCGTTTTGCTGCATTCAGCAACGAGGCTGTGCGCTCAGGCAGACCGCTCCTGCGCCGGACTGCTGCAAACGTAGACACCCCCTGGCGCAGCAGGAGCGCCCCAAGGGCCACACACCCAAGCGCGACGTGGGCAGCCCCGACCGGCGACGGCGCGCCGCCGCCGCCGCCACCGGTGCGGGCAGGGTCCGGCGCCGGCAGGCTGCCGCCGCCGTGCGCTGCGGCCAACCCGACTGCGATCGAGACGACAGTCAGGGCGCCCGCCGCCGCCTCGAAGGGGCCTCGCAGGCGGCGGCGGCGCCCGATCGCGAATCTCGCCCTGCCTAACAACGCGGCAGCTGGCAACAGGGCACCAAACGCGACCATCGACAAAGCCCCATGAAGGTTGAGAGCCGCCAGGTTTGCTGCATGCCCAGCCGGCGCCGCGACGCCTGCCACGTCATTCCCTGGCGTCTGCGGCCGTGGCTGCTGCAAGACGAAAGCCGCGCTGCTGCTGCCCGCTGCTCTGCTGCTGATTTGTTGCACCTGCACGGCTGGCAGCGGCGCCTCTGGTAACGTAGTGACATCGTTGGTCACATTCCTGGTTGCACTGCCTGTGGTTCTGTTTATGTTGGTCCCAGGGCCAGTGCTGTGCTCAATGCTGATGACAGATGCTGTCGTTCCAGCGCCGGTCCTCGGGTCTGCTGGCCGGGTACTAGCAGTTGGTGATTCGGGACGCGGCTGTTATGCAATTGTGAGTGGTTGCGTCAACGTTGACGGAGCCAATGTGCCCAAAGGCTGAGCCTCCGGAGGGGGGCTGACGCGCGGTGAAACCGCCTCAGCGGAAGGTGCTGCAGCCGGCGGCTGCAGCTGCAACACGGAAACGGCTGTGGAGGCTGCGGGCTGCTTGGTGCGCAGCTGTGGATGAGTGGGGGCTGTGATGACGACTGTTGAGATGTCGTCGGATGGCCGCGGCAGCGGGAGTGACGGTGGCCGTGGCGACGACGGGGATTGCCGCGGCGGCGGCGACAGCGACGACGATGGTGACGGTGACAGCAATGGCGACGGCAGCGGCGGCGGCGGCGGGGATGATGGCGATGGTAGCGCGACAATTGCAGGGGGGGTGGCGGCCTCCGCGGGCATTGTCTCGGCAGGGTGTGTGATAACAACTGAAGAGATTTCTGGGGCCGCCGGGGCCGGTGGCGACGGCAACGACCGAGGCAATGGTGGCGGTGGTGGGGGTGGTGGCGGCGGCGGTGGCGGTGTCGGCGGCACATCTGGCGACTGTGAGCTCTGCAAAGAGGGATCAGAGGCTGGCGCAGGCTGCATTGAATCATGATCTGCAACCGGCTTCACTGGCGGGGGCGCGGGTGCCACCTCAGCTGCGCTGTCAGCGGAGTCGCCAGTTGGATCTTGCTTGTTGCCTGCGCTCGAGCGGGAGGGGGGAGGCAAGACGAAGGCAGCCTGCTACAAGGATCGTGCCTGACGACGCAGGCTGCGGGAACGGCGCTGCACCCGTGACTGTGTTCCAGGACATGCCTAGGTTCGCACCAAGCAGCACTGAGTGCATAGAGTCAGGCGCAGTCCTGGTTGCCCGCCCTAGAATGCTGTGCGCACCTCGGCTCCAGGGTAGGAAGGACTCAAGCAAGCCGCCGCCGCCGCCGTTATCGACGCCACCATCATTACTGCCATCCCCACAGGGGCTCTCCGGGCAACCGTCCGTCCGCACACGGAGCGTGCCCGTCGCCTGCCGCAGGGCACCCAAAGCGCCATCCGCGCTGGTGACGGTGAGCATTAGGGTGGGGCTTCGCGCATCGCACGGCACCTGCCAGCCGGCCTGCAGGCGCCCGCTGGGCGGCTCGCCCAGCATGCTGAAATACCTGCCAGGGCTGAGAGCAGGGGGCGCGGCCGGCCGCGGCGCCGGCGCTCACGGCCTGGGTGAGACAGCGCCGGCGGTGCCTCAGTGCAGCATCAGCCCCCGCGAGGCTGACAATGTGTGCAGTGCGACGGGGAGGGGTGCATGGTCGCCCATGCTTGGGAGGCGTCCATTAGGCATGATCTTGCACGGCCCGGTCACGGCGCGAGCACTCCGGGATCGCCAGCAGCCACCCTTGTGTTTTGTGCTTGGAGCACCTCACCATGTGGGGTCTGCGGGCAGGGGGAGACTGACGCCGAAAGCGGTGCGGGTGAGGGTTCCGGCCTCCGCAGTCAGTAGCGCCAGCCGCGGCTCGTCGAAGGTGACCTGCATGCAGCACGTGCGGCAGCAGCAGCAGACAAGAGAAAGAGAAGCCGCTGCGCTGCGGCGAATGGCGAGGGGTGGCCGAGATGGCGGCATCAAAAGCACGCTGCTGCACCTGATTTTGCGTGCGAGCAAGCGCCGCCCCCACATCCGACCGCGCTTCTGAGCCGGCACGCTCTCGCGTTTGTGGGCAGCCGCTGCGACCCGCCTCAATTTTATAGTTGGTGCCTGGGCATAGCGCTGTGCGGGTCGCGCCCGAGTCGTCCAGGACCCTGAAGGATATGCTCCTTGGAGCAAAGGCGGCGGGGACGTCTTTGGCGGTGGTGTGTGTGTGCTGAGGGGTGTGCCATGCGTATGTTCAGGAAAATTGGCTGCTACATGATAAAATCCCCAGCACTGGTGCTGATGTGAGGGATTGACGGCGCAGCAGTTGTGCTGGTGGGGGATCGGCCTCGACCAAGGTTCTCACGAGTCATACTGCGGAAGCTCGTGGCCCCCAATGTCGTCACCATTGCGTGGATGCGTCTTGCAGGCGCCGCCACTTTCCCTTGCAGCCCACAAGCTGGGCAGGGCAGCAGCTGGCGCGGGCGGTGCCGTGAGCAGCAGGGCGATCGCCGCCGCGACAACCTGCATCGTCCACGACTTTGTGGAATCAAACAAGAAAAAAACTAATTACTTCAACCACGCGGATGAACCATGGTCGTTCAGGGATAAACTTTTGTCGATGATCGTCCAAGGTCGCGGGGTCTCAAAGGAAGCTGGAAGGATAAAGCGGTTGCGCTGGCAAGAAGCTGTAGGCATACAGCGCATTCGATTTTCTTGTACTTGATGGCTTTTACTAGCGTTGGACGCGCACGCACACCACCCTACGCAACGAGGTTCCAGAGTAGCAGTCATGCCATGATGGCGGCGCAGCTCGAGCTGCTGCCGGCCGCCGGCATTGCGATGGAGAATTGCATAGGTCATGTGAGCGCGTGCACCTGAATTCGTAACATCGCTCTTCTGCGTTTGCATATATGAGAATCATCTTGACCACCACTCACTGCAGTGCACACACCGTTGGCCAAGTCTCCTGTGCCCCCGCCGTCGAACGTCCAAACCCGAGAGTGGTGGTACGTGGATAACTTCATCAACTTTTGCTGCCTCCCAACCTTTGCTAGCTAGCTGTTGTAGCAAGCGCACGCCATGTCACCTGGGTATCTGGGTAGTCATCGTCCTGCCACTGCTGTACTGTACCCTTACAATCCGTCGGAGCAGACGTTTAATCTCATCACTGACGAGACATGGCTGACTGTTAGTAAGTATCATACGGGGTGCATATACACATAGGCGTGTATGCGCACACACATATTGTATGCAATTGCGTGCATGAGTACAGGCGTGTGCACACGCGCGCGCGCGTGTGTGTATCGGGGGTGCATGTAGTGAGCGAAAGCGTTTGTGCTGAACGCAGCAGGCACGCATCAGATTGTGTTACTGCCTGGCATCACACACCCATGCGCGTGCACGCATGTGCGAGCGCGCGCACTCTCACACGCACGCACACACGCACACACACACACGCACACAAAACAGGCTTGCCCCATGAAGTCGTGCCCATGATCATGACAACTATGATGTCATGCATGCCGTAAATGTGCGCTAGTTTGTTACACTCGCGCAAAAGCGTCGCGCAATGGTTGATTTCAGGCGTAATAGGAACGGCTGTGGTGTCGCACGCCACGCGGCGCTGCCTCAACGGCTGCCACAGAGCGACGCAGCCATTGCTTCACCGCGCCTGCAGCGCAGGCGCCGGCGGGACAGCAGCTTCTAAGCAAACAAAGTACCGATGTGGCCTCTAAGTACAAGGTGATGCAATGTTCAAAGCTATGGTATTGGAAAATCATCAGGCAGCAGTGCTTAGGCGGTGTAACCCGCCATCCGCATCAAATTGCATCGCGTGGACTCTTGGAAACAACAATCAAGAAAAGTTGGGCACGACCATCGAAGCATGTGGCATATTCTTGGCCGTCAAACACATGCAACCAGCGGCACTGTCAATAATGGATGGAGGCTCACTTTGGGAAGCGGAAACATGCAGCAGCCAACCTGACGCAACCGGCCTCCAAACAGCTATCAATGCATGGGGGCTGCGGCGGTTGTTTGGCTCAAAGGGCAAGGGGCACAATGGATGGCGGGGCGCGGGGCCCACCGCGCCCGCGATTAGTAAGCGGCTTGGATATCACCACTGCAAGCGCCAACAAACTACAGCAGCCGGGTCGAGGCGCTGCTCTGTAAACAACACGCAGCCTGCCACAGCCTCGAGCCACCGCATGGCCGCAGCACCCTCTGCACGACCTGACCGGGGCGCCGCGGGCAACCGCTGGCAGCCGCTGTGCCAGGGGGGGCCGCGCGTCGCAAGCATGCCGGTCAAGCCAGCTTGGTGCACTTGATCAGGGCCGCGCCAGGGACCAGCGGGGCCCGGACGGCCGCGCCCTTGCAGGCGGCGGCGACGGCGGCAGCGGCTGACTTGGCGTCGCCAGGCGCCTCCCCGTCGACGCGCAAGATGTGCATGTGGCGATGACCGGTCCGCCCGTAGTGCACGCCGCGCCACTCCACGCTGCTTGTGAAGATGCACCACAAGCAGCCGATGCCGGAAACTATCTGCGAGAAGTGCACCCAGACAAAGCTGCCGACCGCCCAGCGCAGAGTGGCGCGGGGCGGCAGCTGCAGGTCTAGGGGCTTGAGGATCGTGGCCGCCGCGATCTCGCGCGCGATGGTCAGCATCGCGCCGCTCAGCAGAATCGTCGCGCCATACGCCGCCAGCAGCGACTGCGCGAGCCCCGGCCGCCCCGCCGCGGCGGCGGCGGCGGCGCCGGCGAGCGCGGCGGTGGGC